GCAGGTTAGCCATGTTAGTCTGTAAAACTTAAGAAACAACGAATAGTCCAGCAGCACCTTAGAGATTAAGAAAACATGTAGATGGTATCATGAGCTTTGGTGGGCACAACCCACTTTCATCTGAAGAAGTGGGTTGTGCCCACCAAAGCTCATGATACCATCTACATGTTTTGTGAGTCTCTAAGGTGCTGCTGGACTATTCGTTGTTTTGTATGTTTAAAAAGGGGTATGTAAAATACATGGGAATTAAATTGAAATAATATTAAAAGAAATGGCAAAAGAAATATTTTGATTTAATGAAATAAAACGAGTCACTTTTAAAGAGCTGTGGGGGTCTAACTTACTGGCCATGAATCTGTCAGAACTTCTGAATGAATGTGATATATCACTGCCTGTAAGATAGGTTTCTGATTCTGCATATTCATAGCTCTGGTATGCTTACTGAACTCACAGCGTCTGGAGTTTGGACTCCAGACGACTTGATGTTGTATCAAGAGGTAATATCTAAAGTAAGCACAATAGAAATATAGTTAGAAAACAAAAATATCCCATTTGTTCTTCTTATAAGGGTAAACGAAGCACGCCTTGCAGCGAGTGGCCGGTTAGCTCAGTTGGTTAGAGCGTGGTGCTAATAACGCCAAGGTCGCGGGTTCGATCCCCGTACGGGCCACAAGGGAGCTTTTTATTTTCAAATTTCTTCCAGTACTTTAAATTTCCATTAATATGTTTTGATGGATTAAACACAGAGTAATGCACTCATATTTAAATGCAAACGTCACTATAAAATAATGACTACGGTTATTTTACTTTAAATTGACTCTCCGTCAAGCTTTTTAAAGAGCTATAACCTGATAATGCAGCACCACAGTTTTTAGGGGGCACTTTTGCTTGAGGACTTTAAACATTGTCGCATTTCTTCAGGTGTATCCATTATGCAAGCGTTCAGCAGTATTTTTTATGTATTTTCTAGTCCATATGTTTAATCGGATCTTTTTCTGTTCAGTCCCCGAATCATATATATGAAGCACACTCATATTTGGCTTTTAATGTGTTTTGTTACTCGGTGCAATACAAAATAATAGTTTTGATATATTCAGCAAAATAGGAACACACAGCACACTTTAGATGTAAAATAGTCCCTCCTCAAATTTCAAATAGTACCTTTTGAGTTTTGCTTTAATTAACTAGAAAGTAACGTTTAAAAGAAAAAAAAGCCAGTTTCCCTTGAAAAAATATGTTACTCTGAAAATTAGTGGTTTAAAATATTGTAATGCATGAGAAAAGAAAATATTTCTAATTAAATTATTAAAAGTCAGGGAAGAGTGCTTTTCATTGTAAAATTATGCATGGATGTAATCCCACCGAATGAAAGTAAGCTAAATACACACATCTTTGCAGGATCAGAGCCAAAATGTTAAGACAGTGACTTTGTGGGTAAAATTGACCTGTCATTGTCCATGAAGACCCTTTAATTAGGGGATTATATCTTGTGTGTTTCAAAAACAGACTAACGCTTGGTTTGGCTACAATTTACTTTACTAAAAAAAGGTTTATTTTTACTCTTTAAAAATATTGTTATCAATTTCAGATTATTTTTCTCTATCCCATGGTGTACCAAATCTGTTTAGATAGAGGTATTGGCACCCTCTGAATTGCATTGTATGCCGTGTGGTGCACTGAACACTATTGCACGGGACTACTGTTGAATGAGTATATTGTGTGTATCGACTTCAACTGTATTTGCACTACACGCCATCTCACAGGAAAACGCTTTCGAAAGCGTCTTGACACTGCGGGGCCCCTGTAGTCCTTAAGACTCCGCCCCTTCCGTGATGCTGAGTGAAGGCCGCACCCGCCGTCCCTATTGGCTGGCTCCCTCATTGCCGGTTCCTCTAGGTTCCCTCCGGAGTTTTAAGGTCTGCGGGGCGAATGTGCCTCCCGCCCCCCGACACCTGCCAAGATGGCGGCTCCCGAGGATGGGGGAGGAGAGATCGCGGCGCCGCCACCCCCTGCTGAGGAAGAGCCCCCCGGACCGGCCGCTGCCCGCGGGGCTCTCCTCAGCGCGGCGGCTGGGGAGGGCGTTGGGCTGCTGGGGCCTGACCATCCCCCGGGGGCGGCCGTGGCCAGGGGTGACTTGCTGTGTCCGGTGGAGGGTGGGGGCCTGCTGGGCGCCCTGGAGCCTAGATTCCCCGCTGAGGAGGGATCGCAAGCGCTGGCGGTGATCGAGGAGTTGTCGCAGAGCCTGGCGGCCAGTCCCTCTGCCATCTGCACCACCCTCTTCCTGCAGCCAGCGGGGAGCCTGGTGCAGGGGGCTGAGCTGAGCGCCGAGGAGCAGCTGGTGGCAGCGACCGACAACCAGGCCGTTGAGCTGATGGGGAATTTGCCTGCGGAGAAGAGTCAGGCCGAGCTTCCCGGCCAGCAGGCCCCAGCGACGCTCCTGGCGCCAGAGGAGCTCCAGAGGGTCATCGAACAAGTGAGCAGGACCCAGAAGCAGCCACCACCCCCTCTTCCCTCCTCTGGAGCTGGCACTGGGTCCTCAGTGATGTTGTCTTCTCCCAGAGGTGGGGGATACCCCCTACCCCAGGAGACTAGCTTCAGGCCCCCAGCATCAGGGATGAGTGGAACCCCACAGGGCTCTAGCCTGACTGCTGCCACGGAGTCTCAGCTGGTAACGAGTATCATGCACAATGCAGCACAGCAGTTGCAGAATGTGGCCCAGCAGGTTGCCCTTCAGGAGGGCAAAGCTATCGGTACCACCAGGTGCCTTGTACACAAGGTAAACAAAGGGGTAGAGGAGATGTCTATAGAGAACCAAAGGTTCAAGTGAATGGGAAAGTGGTCTCTGGTATAAAATTGGGACTGGGTACTAGAATGTGTAGGACAGTGAATAATCATGGGCATCTCTCTCAATGATTGAACTGTACTGAGAGCTACTGCACTAGCTCCGCTGCTGACTTTAACTCCCTGATCACTTTCATTTACCTTGGAATTTAGATTTCTCCAGGCATTAGTCTTATAGTTGGAAGACTGGTGTTGGGAGCAGCTCATTTTCAAACAAGGTAGAATGTGCATGGTTGAATGAAGGTAATAGGTGTGGGTTGCCCTATGTTCTAGTCTGGCAGAATAAGCAGTTGTCCAACATGACTTGGAAGAACTACTTTACAGTGATTAGGCCAATGTAATTTGTCAGTCCAGCGTTTCTGACAGTTGAGTGTTTGGGGGCACATAATTCATGCTAACCCGTTGATCTATGAGAATTTTTTTATTATGATGGCTGCCTGCTACACTTCAGATTTTAAAGCCATTTCTATTATAATTTACATATACTCTCTAACTTTCCCAAACATTTTCCTTTTGGGCTAAGATTTTCCATGATTGGTCCTTGCCCAACAGTAACTTTTTTTAAAAAAAGTTGAGTAACCTTCATTCAGTTATGTGTATTATGAAAGACTATAAAAAAATGTTCCTACTGTTGAACAGGTGTTACAATAGAAACATTTGAAAATTACAAGTCTGGACCAAATTTAGATTGTCTTCCCTTTGTGGTAGGGACAGGTTTTTTTTTTTTTGTTCTTTCATACAGCGTTTAGCACCATGGGGTTCTGGACTATGACTAGAGTTTCTGGGCATCACTGTAATACAAATAATAACAATGAGCCTTTTCTTTGAGTATTGGGAGGAATTTGACAGAAAACTAGAAGCAATTAACTTGCAGATTTTTTTTTAAATGGAAAGCTGTGCATTTAGCAAAGCACTCAAGCATGCGTTTGCGTGGAATCAGATGGATTATATCTGTGCTTGTAGTTGGGCATGTGCCTAAGTGCTTTGGGTGGTTTGCTGATAGAGAAATGGACACTTCTCAAGTAAGAGGTCGGGCTTTGACTCTTCCTCAGTCCCTTGCTAATTCTGTGGTGTGACTAAAAAATGATAAAGGTGGTGAAGAGGAGGACAGAAAGGAGGTTATAGCTCAGAAGCATGAGCTGCTTATATCATCTTAAGGATATTTTTAACTGTACATTTATTAGGATATAACCTTGGCCTAATAGTTGGCCTCCAAAATTAATAGAGAGTTAATTGCCTTGTAGGTGAGATGTGCTTGTTGAATTTACAAATTCACAGCAGAGGGCTAGATTTTGAAACTGAATCTGCACAGGTGTACCCTGTTGACTTAAGCAGGGTTCTGCCCAACTGATCCATTTGCAGGAATTATTTCTTAGTTTTTGGCAACTAAATTCATGGTTGCTATATCGTTTCATTTTTAAGGCCTACCAAATAAACTGAAATGCTTTATGTAAGCAACAAATGCGACTGTATACATAATTTAGTAGCTGGAAGGAAATATATACTTGAGGGTTGTAAGAAAATTGGATGATGTATCTAATTTCTTCATGTTTCACTTTAAGGTCTTGCATACACAGATGTAAAATCTTGATTAAATAATATTGTACTTGTACATTTTCAACTCTTTTGTTTTTCTTTCTCCTATAGCAATTAGAAGCCATTTGTGTACAAATGCAGCCGGGGCAGATGAAGGAAAACGAAAAACCAGTACCACCTCTTGCAGCAGTCCAATCCAAAGTTACTACACTGAGTCAGCCAGCTGGTAGGAATTCTGGCCTGTCCAGACTTAATATTATTAATCCACAGATTATTAGGGTACAGCCTGTTACAGGAACTGAGCAGCAACAGTTTTTCTTGCATAGTTCTTCTGAGTCGCCAGTTCAGCTACTTGTGCAGAGACCTTTAGCCCCTCGTGGACCAGTGTCAGTGAATAAGATTCCCACACGCCAGACATTGAACGGACAGAAGACTCCACGTGCCACGCTGTCTGCTACAGAATCTCAAAATGTTACTTTGGTGGCAGCCAGTTCAGCAAATACTCTTATATCGAGCCTTGAGAAAAAGCAAAAAGAACTAAAGCTAAAAAAATCTTTGAAAGTGAAGACTCGTTCTGGACGGATTTCACGACCTCCAAAATATAAAGCAAGAGATTATAAATTTATTAAAACAGAGGATTTAGCTGATGGGCATCAATCTGATTCTGATGACTATTCTGAACTAAGCATAGAAGATGATGACGAGGGGAAAGAGAAGGCCACAGATACATTATTCAGTCCTTTGAATTATAACCTGAAGCCCAAAATGTTCAAATGTCAGACTTGTGAAAAATCCTACATAGGAAAAGGAGGATTAGCGCGGCACTATAAACTTAATCCAGTTCATGGACAACTGGAGTCTTCACAGCAAAAAGCATCTATGAATAAAACTAATAAAAGTGTGTTTCTGGATATTTTTGGAGGAGCAGGTGATGGAACTGAGAGTTTGGCACATTTGCAACCTGATGTTGTCACTTTAAATAATGAAAAATCACTAGCTGTCGGTTTGGAAGAAACTGCTTCTTCACAAAATGAGCAACAGGTAAGGTGGTAGTTTGCTTTCTGCATAATATGCAGTTTCACAAACAATGTAAAGGCAATTTCACTTCAACATTATTGCAATTTTAGAACTTTATTCTTCACTAATTTACATGCAGAATTCTTATAGATGGGAATGGGAATTCTTTCAATAGATCAGGGGTTCCCAAACTTTTTGACATGGGGACCAGTAAATCCATTCATAAACTTTTGGAGGACTGGTAACATTAATTTGCATATTCATTAATCAAATGATGAATATTTAAATAAGTTGTTTCTGGTCCTCCCAAAGCCCCCAGTGCCAGCTTTAGCAAAGCTTTTGATAGTGTCACCCAACATATTCTTGCCATCAAGTTAAAGACAATGGATTAGATAAATGGAGTGTAAGACAGACAAAGTTGGTTAGACCAGGATTTCCCAAACTTTTTACTTTAGTTGGAACCCTTTTTTAGTACTGTTTTTTGCAGCCCAAAAATATAAACACATAAAACAAACTGAGAAAATACCAAACATATAACATGTCTGGTATTTTCTCATTAGATACGTTTTATTATTACTAGATGTGTCAGTTTGTAGTTTCAAACTGTCTGGCTGCTAAATGTGCTCAGGCTGCATGAGTGTGTCTACCAGCCAGCCAGTTCGCAGCTACTCGAGGGAGGGGATGTGGGGGGGGGGGGCACAA